AAGCGAAATGAGACGAAGTGAATGATAAAAAGTCATGAAGAGAACGGTATTCTCATGCAATAGCTATGAGAGTGAATACAACACGTCTGAAAAGAATGAGAATCCATGTGAATCAGTTTGAAGTGAGCGTGTCACAGACAATAGCTTCCATGCAATCATAATCGATTGCAATAATGAGCAACACAACGGTCTAGCGAAGAAACAATGAGAACCCAACAGAAGAATGACTTACGAGAGTAACACGTGGAAAATTTCCGGATTCCATCCACGATCTACCGAATAATAAATCCCGTAAAACGCCTAAACCATAGATGGAATATTCGTCAGTTTCCAAAAATTTATTCACCAAAATTAGGTTTGTTAAAATATTACCAACATACATTATCTTTGTGGCCTGAAAATCGCAATGATTTGATTTTGCTACAAGACAAATAATGTGTGAACGAAAAATGAACAGATATTATAACGGTTTCCAATCATCGACAATACAATCGTAATGAACTTACAAGATAAAGTCCAGTCACATAACTCTCGTAGTAACGAAGATTAAAACATTTGAAGACCCTGTGGAGAGTGTATTGGGTCCGTGAAGTGGCAGTGTGTTGATACCTGAAGCACATTCAAGTTCACCGTTCAAATCGATCAGATCATTATGAAATAGGGCGTTGATCATTGAATTAACTGTGCGTACCTAAGAGCAGATTCGATGTGTCTTGAGAGTGACTCAATGGTTCGTATCCTGTAATCCGGCTCGATATTCTCCTTTTCGGTTGCCAACTGAACAATATCATTCAGTCGAATGCCTGAAAAATTATGCTTACTATTTCCTCAAATTGTTTAGGTCCGTCCCTGAAAGTGCTGTGTCAGACAATCCACTGCTGAACACAAAGCTTTCGGTCATACCTACACCAGACATCTCAATTTGCCTCTCATAAATTGCTTTCGTAAATGAGCACTACCTGCTTTCGTAATTCAATCTTTCTTAAGTTGAACTGAAACATTTTCACACACGCAACACTCTTCTCATTCAACAACAACAGCAACACAATCATAAGGCAGACTACTTCTTAGCTGCTTTTCAAATGCTGACATCAAGAACATCAGAAAGGCTCAATTTCAACGAAACTGAACTTCCCACTTCATACTGCACTGTCGTCTTTCGATGAAATTCCAAACCTTTTAGCAAATGGATTTATTTTTATTCGTTCTTACCTAGATCATTTGCACTCAAATGGATTCAATTCACTTCAATGCGCCTCTATTAATCGCTTACACGCTCAGTTCTAAATGAAACGTTTTTTCAGTGTTCGAAACAATTTTGCATCAAACGTTCTCAAACGCAATCCGGAAATGCTCTCATGCAATTGCACGCAGTTTTCCACATATTCACACCGTTCGCCTTAATAATGATGACGCACACGATTCAAATTATCGTTTCTCGTGTGCAATTTTGAATTATCCTCCGACTGGCTCAAACCAGCAAGAACACTTGAATATCCATTAGGTTTAGGCGACCCAATTGAAGGCAGTTATTTGCTGTTTCACTGACTAGCTGATCATTCGAGCTGATTTGAACTGGAGATTTTCTATCTGACAAAGTGAATCGAATTTTTTTGTTGTTTAAGAAATGTTGCTTTGGAATGAAATCTCATTGAATTCATCTAGCAACTGGATCATGCATTATAAAATGTGTCAATTTCGAAACGATTGCATGGAATAATGCGTCAAAGACATTTTATCGTAGCTGTCAGTCAGTCTTCATGAATAAATATCACAACGTTCGATTTCTAAAGAGAATTATTAAAGCTGAAACGAAAATTATTCATGAGCACACTTACGAAAAATGCTAATGAAATTTCCTCCGTGTGAAGAATGTCCAAGCAATCGCCGCAATTTCTGCGTACGAAATCGCATTTGCATTTTAAACACTCTTGGAATAGCTCGGGTAAATGTATTGATAGTAATCACGAAGAGTAATTTGAAGGAATAACCTGATTTATCACTCATTAAACGCCACATCAGGCAGGGAATGTAGTAAAGGAAGGCTTGGATGAGAAGAAAGAACGGTACCCATTGGTAGTAGGAAATCTGCCGATATTCACGTTCAGCAATATCAACTGGAATATCCTGAAATCCGAGGTTATCACGAAATGTTGCTATGATTTCACGAAAAGTTATAATCATTCTATTTGATCTCACTGATATAGATAATGATCGATGATGCTGGATTGATAATTGCTCAAATCTGAAACAATTTCCGAATGTTACCTGTTCAATGGGTACCCAGTAAGTGTTTTGTGCCCAACAATACATCTCCGTATATGCCTCCCATGAGCTAGTAAATTGTGCGGGCACCCAACACTCCAAAGGACGTCCACCAAACTGAAATGGTGACAATTTTTAAGAGTCTTTGAAGGGATCAGTTGAATGAAATTACTGCTTAGTCATGTTTTGAGTGAATTCCTTCCTTTGCTTCAAGATTAAACAAGTTAAGATCCCTTATTCTGAGCTCAACTTGTAGTTTCTCACAGAATATATGGAAGGAAAGGTTTTCCAATAGTGTGCGTTCGAGGAATTATTCAAATCTCGAATTTTTGCAAGAACAAGGCAATTTATCATACGATAAGTACACGGTTAATATGACAACGTTTCCGATCGGCTCAGAGTGGAAGAGGAAGTACGAATGCGGCGGCGGCGTTTAATGCTTTTTTATTGCTTTCAAATTGTGCACAAGTAAAACTTCTGAGGATCTGACACAGATGTAAAATGGGCCAAAACGTTGTACGATATCTGAACGAGCTCGATATTTCTTCTGGTTAATCTGGCATTTCACTGCAAACTGTTTGTTTTCGTTAGAATATTTGGTCGTTTGAAATTCACCGACGATCTTTCAATGACAGCGATTTGCAATGCATGAACCATTGTCCTAGACCTTTGCGTTGCTCATTATTGCAATCGATTATGATTGCATGAAAGCTATTGACTGTGAGACGCTCACTTCATACTGATTCACATGGATTCTCATTCTTTTCAGACGTGTTGTATTCACTCTCATAGCTATTGCATGAGAATACCGTTCTCTTCATGACTTTTTATCATTCACTTCGTCTCATTTCGCTTAACAGTTACAATCAAATTCTTATTCTGCGACATACACTATTTACTTGATACGTTGACGAGTGTTGACAACCGACGTCAACAATGCAACAATTGAATACTATTGTTCAACAACGTTCGACAATCAAATGATCAATTATAGAGTGTATTTGATAGAATGAGAATTTGACTTTGATTGTTGAATGAAATGAATGAGAAATTAGCAGAAGAGAACACTTTTGGTGATGAAAGTCATGAGAGCGACTGTAATAGCTCGGAAAAGAATGAGAATCCTCTTAAAACGGATGAAAACCCTGTTAGGCCCGGACGAGCTAATCGTACTGAGAAAATAGGAGGATGGAGAGTTCACCCAAGGTAAAAAACATCTTCACATTGGCGTTCTGTCATAAAATAACAATTGCAAGAAATACTAATTTCCCTACCCCCTCCATTACACCCTGACACTTTCAAATTATCCAAAATGAGTACTTTCACTTCCTATGAGAACCACTGCAATAGTGAGGCGTTCAAGCTTCAATAACGTAAGCATTTATAAACGATCACCAAGGATACCCGTGCCGGGATATTCCATTCAAATGAGATATGTATGATGTATTCTAAATGATTACTTACAATCAGAATTGAAACGAGACAAGTTTCATTCGTCATCAGCGTTTTATTTGCGATCTAAACATGACATTCCATGTGAAACATTGAAGAAAGAGCGTGAATTACCTGTTTGAAACTGACTAGAACGGCCATCATGATAAGAAACGAGGACGTGTAGAAATAGGAGAGTCGATCGACAAAATCGTCGTCCTTGCGATAATGCAAAAATGAAAGCGCACTGAACATATTCTGGAGAACCATCGCTCCAACTTCCAATACCGCTGCGTGGTGGTATCCCGATTCTCTACCGTGTCCTCAAATCACAACTTTTTATTTCAGTCGCGCTCTCACTCTCTCTCTGAATTATTTATTTCAAAATTGAAATATTCAAATGAGATCCACCACTCATCATCCCTCTTATGAATTATCCATCATTTATGGAGTGACCGCGTTGAGCGTCTTCTCACGGCACTGCCATCCAGCCAGACAGCCACTTGGCTCAATAAATTTTGAATTTATTGCAGAATTGCTCATGAATTTCGTATGTCGAGCTTTAGTTGAATGCAGATACGGAAGCATGAAAATATGGCGACATGCTAACGATTTAGCACATCTGAGAAGTTTTCATCCTCTTCAAATATTCTATCTCATGGAAGCATGGCCACCAATGTGATAGCATCAGTTTTAGTGAATGTTTACGGATCAACTGATTGTAAACGGCTGCTGATTTCGTAAAAATTTGCAGTTTGACTGGAATACATCGCAGCAAAAATATTCGAGTTGAAGGAAGTTCAAGTTCTACGCTCATGTCAGACTGATCACATCATCATGCAGTTTCCGTTACTGCTCCTTAGTATTTCATTTCATTTCGTTTCATTTCAAACGCATTCCTCTCGAATTTCTTAAACGAAATTGAACTGAGTGAATGTTTAACATGTATAAGCACGTTGCAGTGATCCAATGCCACTTTTACTCTTCCCAATGTGTAACGTGAAGAGTTCAAAAGTAAAACTGATCAGAATAAGTCTGAAAACGTTTGCGTGTTCCAAAACGTTTGCGTGTTCTGGTTCCGCGTTCAATGAAGTTTTTTTAATGTTGTATAACACAGAATTTATTTGGTGTGTGCTTTGATAGTAATTCTCAGTACTGAATTTTGATTTCGCTCATTAAAAGATCTCCCATTGCAATTGCTTATCAAAAGGCGCACGTCTTACGTAAATTTCTCATTAATATACATTTCGCTATCATTAACATTCCATTTGCCGAAGTAACAAAAAAAAAACTGCTGAATATAATGATACGTTATCATACGAATTCCCTAACTGCTTTGCTGTGTGCATACGATGCCTATAACTATTCCACAAAATGTTCACCAAAAAAAGTTATAACATGAATGCGAGTTCTAGAAAATTTCGAAACATGTGCTAAATTAAACGTTCAAGGATTGAACGATACAGATGTTAGTGACAGCAGATAAACTGATGGATGAATGGATACATGCGGCGGCTATACACACATAACTGATGGAGGAGACCTTTGAAATGTCGACGATGAAGGCCTGAAGTGACCGGATCGAATTTACTTTTTGAATTCATCGAAATTGGTGGCGTTGTGCATTAGCTCGTGTAGATACAATCAATGCTTCATGCAGCATACTGATCAATTTCTGAGTTTGAGTCGATCAGATTGAGTTGTTGTGTTTGGCTAACAACAACTATACATTGTTGTTGTTGTTGCTGTTGCTGCTGATGCAAACGTTTTTCTGATGGTGATGAAATTTCAGTGTGCGTAAGCAGAGAATAATGCATACAGTAAAGCTTGTCAGATCCTAAAATCATCGAACGAATCACAATGAGTTGAAATCGGCGTACATTGACGTAGCATACGATTAATGACAAGACAACAACCTATCTTTTAATCTGAAAACGATAAAGAAATCATTTCAATACGGAACGTAATGATGAAGGAATTGTTGTCGCAGCATAAACTGTTCAATTCTGAGTTCACATTCACTGTTTTGTTGTTTTTTCACAATGGACATCCTCAATGGTAACAAATACTAAAAGAATTTGCATTTGCTTGGATAAGGTGGTGGCAGTCTATTA